TACTGTCACTGTCAGGCTACTACTGTCACTGTCAGGCTCAATACTGTCACTGTCAGGCTACTACTGTCACTGTTGGGCTACTACTGTCACTGTCAGGCTATTACACACTGTCACTGTTGGGCTATTACTGTCACTGTTGGGCTACTACTGTCACTGTCGGGCTATTACTGTCACTGTTGGGCTATTACTGTCACTGTCGGGCTACTACTGTCACTGTTGGGCTACTACTGTCACTGTCGGGCTATTACTGTCACTGTTGGGCTATTACTGTCACTGTCGGGCTACTACTGTCACTGTCGGGCTACTACTGTCACTGTTGGGCTACTACTGTCACTGTCGGGCTATTACTGTCACTGTCGGGCTACTACTGTCACTGTTGAGTCACTTGTCACTTTCCCATATCCCCAAAATACCACATGAAGCTGGTCTTAGTAATCACTAACGACATTGCCGATGTTTCAAGTAATATTTGAGACACTTATTACCGCCCCACCTCTCCCCCGTGTCTACTTCCGTCTGCTGCGTGAACGTAAATTGATTAAGTTGACGTACACATGTAGGTTTTTATGTATACTGCTGTAGTGTGAATGCAGGTGGTTAATGTTAGTCTTTATGTTTGTATAAGTTAATATGAATATGGCCCAAGTAGTTACATAATGTGCAGTCATATCATAAAAAAGATACACATTTAGATAGAGAGAGAGAGAGAGAGAGAGAGACGGCTTCTCTCTCTCTCTCTCTCTCTCTCTCTCTCCTAGGAAACCTTTTCATGGCGTTGTTCATAACACCGTAATGTCAACACACCCAAGCCATAAGCCACACACAAACTCGTATAAGTATAACAGAACATTTTTGACAGATTGTTATTATGTCACGGGTGAGGGGGAGACAGAGGTGAGGGGAGGACAAGGGTGAGGGGAGGACAGAGGTGGAGGGGAGGACAGGGGTGAGGGGAGGACAGGGGTGAGGGGAGGACGAGGTGAGGGGAGGACAGGGTGAGGGGAGGACAGGGGAGGGGAGAGGAGGGTGAGGGGAGGACAGGGTGAGGGGAGACAGAGGTGAGGGGAGGACAGGGGGTGAGGGGAGGACAGAGGTGAGGGGAGGGGAGAGGACAGGGTGAGGGAGGACAGAGGTGAGGGGAGGACAGGGTGAGGGGAGGACATGGGTGAGGGGAGGACAGGGTGAGGGGAGGACAGGGATGAGGGGAGGACAGGGGTGGGGAGGGGTGGGACAGGGGTGTGAGGGGAGGACATGGGTGAGGGGAGGACAGAGGGAGGGGAGGACGGGGGTGGGAGGGGAGGACAGGGGTGAGGGGAGGATGGGGTGAGGGAGGACAGGGGTGAGGGGAGGACATGGGTGAGGGGAGGGACAGAGGTAGGGAGGACAGGGGTGGGGAGGGGAGGACAGGGGTGAGGGGAGGGACAGGGGTGAGGGGAGGACAGGGGTGAGGGGAGGACAGGGTGAGGGGGAGGACAGAGGTGAGGGGAGACAGGGGGAGGGGAGGGAGGGAGGGGGCAGAGGGGAGGACAGGGGAGGGGGGAGGACATGGGTGAGGGGAGGACATGGGGTGAGGGGAGGACAGGGGTGAGAGGAGCATGGGGTGAGGAGGACATGGGTGAGGGGAGGACAGGGGTGAGGGGAGGACAGTGGGTGAGGGGAGGACATGGGTGAGGGGAGGACATGGGTGAGGGGAGGACAGAGGTGAGGGGAAGACAGGGGTGAGGGGAGGACAGGGGTGAGGGGAGGAATAGGGGGTGAGGGGAGGACATGGGTGAGGGGAGGACAGTGGGGTGAGGGGGGAGGACAGAGGGGAGAGGGGAGGTGAGGGGGGGAGGACAGGGTGAGGGGAGGACAGGGGGTGGAGGGGAGGGACAGGGGTGAGGGGAGGACAGGGTGAGGGGGAGAGAGACATGGGTGGGAGGGGGAGGACAGAGGTGAGGGGAGGACATGGGTGAGGGGGAGGACAGAGGTGAGGGGAGGACATGG